AGGCTCAGCAGCCGTGGCACACGGGCCCAGCTGCTCCACAGCATGTGGGATCCTCCCGGACTAGGGCTCGAACCCATGTCCCCTGCACTAGCAGGTGGACTCCCAACCACTGTGCCACCAGGGAAGTCCTCAATTTTTTTCTTTAATGGATCGTGCCTTTGGAGTTGTATCTAAGAACTCTTTACCTGACCCTATGTCATGAAGACTTTTTTTCCTATATTTCTTCTAAAAGTTTTATAATTTTCCATTTTATGTTTAGATCTACCATCCATTTTGTGTTAATTTTTTGCATAGGGCTGAGGTTCAGTTCTTTGCCTATTTATACAGTTGTTTTAGCACCACTTGCTGAAAAGACTCATTCTTTCCCCATTCAGCTGCTTTTGCACCTTTGCCAAAAATTAGCTGGCTGGCTTTTCCGCGCCAGCCAGACAGGGGTCCATACGGCGTTGTTCTGGATTCCCATCGTAACTTAAAGGGAAACTTTCACAATTTCCAGAGCGCTTGATGTCCTGCAAATGAAGGAGGAGGATGTCCTCAAATTCCTTGCAGCAGGAACCCACTTAGGTGGCACCAACCTTGACTTCCAAATGGAACGGTACACTTACAAAAGGAAAAGTGATGGCATCTACATCATAAATCTGAAGAGAGCCTGGGAGAAGCTTCCGTTGGCAGCTCGTGCCACTGTTGCCATTGAAAACCCAGCTGATGTCAGTGTCATATCCTCCAGGAATACTGGCCAGCGAGCTGGGCTGAAGTTTGCTGCTGCCACTGGAGCCACTCCTATTGCTGGCTGCTTCACTCCTGGAACCTTCACTAACCAAAGCCAGGCAGCCTTCCGGAGCCAAGACTTCCGGTGGTTACTGATCCCAGGGCTGACCACTTGCCTCTCCCAGAGGCCTCTTACGTTAGCCTGTCTACCATTGCTCTGTGTAACGCAGACTCTCCTCTGCGATAATGTGGACATTGCCATCCCGTGCAACAACAAGGGAGCTCACTCCGTGGGTCTGATGTGGTGGATGCTTGCCCGGGAAGTTCTGCGCATGCGTGGCACCATCTCCCGTGAACACCCGTGGGAGGTCATGCCTGATCTCTGCTTCTACAGAGATCCTGGAGAGATTGAAAAGGATGAACAGGCAGCAGCTGAGAAGGCTGTGACCAAGGAGGAATTTCAGGGTGAATGGATTGCTCCAGCTCCTGAGTTCACTGCTACCAGTCCAGGTGGTGGACTGGTCTGAAGGTGTGCAGGTGTCCCCGTGCCTCTTCAGCAGTTCCCCACTGGAGGCTGGAGTGCTCAGCCTGCCACTGAACACTGGTCTGCCGCTGCCACTGCTCAGGCCGCTGAGTGGGTAGGAACAAGCACTGAGTGGTCTTAAGCAGTTCTTCCACAAACTCTTAAAATGGAAATAGGTTGACGGAAAATAAACAGTTTCTTAAAAAAAAAAAAAAAAAAAAAATCAGCTGGCTGTACTTGTGTGAATCTATTTCTAGGTTCTCTATTCCATTTTATTGATTTTTGTGTCTGTCCCTTAGCAGATATCACACTGTCTTGATATTGTGTTTACACAGTAAGTCTTAAAATCAGGTGGTGTGATTCCAACTTTTTGTTTTTCAAAATTGCTTTAACTTCTCTTGCCTTGCCATATAAATTTTACAATAAACTTATTTACATCGACAAAACTTCTTGCTGGGATTTTCATAGGAATTGCATTAAATATGGAGATAATTGACATCTATACTATGTTGAATATTCCAATACGTGGACACAGTATATCTCTCCATTAATTTAGATCTTTGATTAGCATTTTGTAGTTTTAAGCAGAGTTTGTACATGTTTTGTTACATTTATACTTAAATATTTTTCGCTCCCCCTCCTTTCCTCCTCCCCCTTCCCCTCTCTCTCTGGAGTGATTGTAAATGATTTTAAATTTTGGTTTCCAGTTGTGTATTGCCAGTATATAGAAATACAATTGATTTTTTTTTAACTTTTTTTTTTTTTTTGGCTGCCTTGGGTCTTCATTGCTGCGCACGGGCTTTCTCTAGTTGCGGTGCGCAGGGGCTACTCTTCGTTGCGGTGTGCGGGCTTCTCAATGGTGGCTTCTCCTGTTGCGGAGCACGGGCTCTAGGCGCGCAAGCTTCAGTAGTTGTGACTCGCGGGCTCTAGAGCACAGGCTCAATAGTTGTGGCGCACAGCCTTAGTTGCTCCGTGGCATGTGGGATCTTTCCGGACCAGGGCTCGAACCCGTGTCCCCTGCATTGGCAGGCGGATTCTTAACCACTGCGCCACCAGGGAAGCCCTACAATTGATTTTTGTATGTTAATCTTGTATCCTGCAAACTTGCTAATAAGCTAATTTATTAATTATATGTTTTTTTGTAGATTCCTCGGGACTTTTTATGTATACACAATCATGTCATCTGCAAATAGAGACAGTTTTTTTTTCTTCCTTTACAATCTTTTCTTTGCCTTATTGCACTGGCTGGGACTTCCAACAATGAGAGTGGTGAGAGACGACATCCTTCCCTTGTTCTTGATTTTTAAGAGAAAGGTGTCCAGTCTTACACCATTAAGTATGATGGGAAGCTGTAGTGTTTTTGTAGATGCTCTTTACCAGGTTGAGGAAGTTCCTTCCATTCTCTTTTTGCTAAGAGCTCTTATCATAAATGGGTACTAAATTATGTTAAGTGGTTTTTCTGTATCAATTGACATGATCATATGTGTTTTTTTCTTTAACTTGTTAATATGGTAGATAATACTGATTGGTTTTCTTACACTGAACCAGTCCTGCATCTTTGGAATAAACTCTACTTGGTTGTGGTATATCATTCTTTTTATATACTGCTGGATTCAGTTTGCTAACATTTTGTTGAAGATTTTTTGATGTTGTTCATGAGTGGTATCCATCTGTGATTTTTCTTCTTTTGTATTATCTTTGTCTGGTTTTGGCCTCATAAAATTAATTAGGAAATGTACCTTCCTCTTCTGTTTTCTGGAAGAGATTGTGTAGAATTTGTGTTACTTCCTTTTTTTGTGTGTGTGGTAGAATTCACCAGTAAAACCATGTGGGCCTAGATATTTCTTGTTCTAAATTTTTTTTAACTATGAATTTAATTACCGTAATAGTTACAGAGTTATTCAGATGATCTGTTTCATCTTGGGTTAGTTTGGTAGTTTGTTTTCTAGGAGCTGGTCCATTTTATCTGTGCTATCCCCTCTTTCATTTCTGATAATCATAATTTGAGTCTTCTTTTTCTTGTTCTCTCTTTTTTGTCAGTCTTGCTAGAGGTCAATTTTATTGACTTTTTCAAAGAACCAGCTTCTGGTTTGAGTTTCTTTATTGTTTTTCTGTGTTCAGTTTCATTTATATTTGCTCTTTATTATTTCCTCCCATCTTCTTCCTTTGGCTTTACTTTTTCTAGTTCCTTGAGGTGGAAGCTTAGGTTATGCTTCCATTCTTTTAAAAATACTGTTCAGTGTTTCCAGAATACTCCTTGCTTCCCTGAAGAATTCCTGTTTGTCCATCAAAACTCTGTTCAGATGTCACTTCTGAGATGGAGTAAGGTTGTAGCCAGCATTTCCTCTTCAACCCCAAATAACCCCCCAAGCTTGTAAGAATCTGAAGCTAAAAGAACCACAGGATTTAAGTGGTGCTGGGAGAGAAGTTCTCAGGAGCCTGGCCTCTTTCCAACCTCCAGTCAAATGGGGTCAGACTCTACCCCAGGCAACTAGAGAGAGGTCTGGGGTGGGGGGGTGGGGTTGTGCATAAAAATGCCAGCTCAGGGACGTCCCTGGTGGTCCAGTGGTTAAGACACCTTGCTCCCAAAGCAGGGCACCCGGGTTCCATCCCTGGTCAGGGAACTGGATCCCACATGCCACAACTAAGACCCAGCACGGCCAAATAAATAATTTTTTAATTAAAAAAAAAAGCTAACGTGTAGGCTTACAGTTTGTAAGGTTATATATTGGGTTTTGCAACTCAGTAGCAAGACAGGAATTCTCATCCCCATTTGAGTGATGAGGGAACTGAGGTCCTCACTGCAGGTCTAACTCATTTTCAAATGGAACTCTACAGAAGCTAAACCGCAGAAAACCCCTTCCCACTGGCCTTGGGGAGCCGCCAATCCCCGGGTGTTGCCCTGCACTTTCCCGCTAGGGGGCGCACGTCCGTACTCCCAGGTGGCGGGCAGTGACCGAAGAGCTGGTGGCGGGTGGGGGTGGTGGAGGGGTGCGAGTGGGTCAGGGGGCCCCAGGGGAGCTGTGAAGGCTGGTCCTGCGGCTCGGAGCTCGCGTCCCCAGGGTCTGGCCTGGGAGGTCAGCCCTGCCAGACGCAGGGAAGAAGGACGGATCCCCGTGAACTGCAGAGGAGTCCCGGAGAGCTGTCCTCCGCAAAGGGCCGGGCCTCGCCACTCGTTACCCGCCCTCGGTCTTTCGGCAACAGGAACCTTAGGCGGGAGGTCAGTTCTGCCAACTCTGCCACACCTCCTCTGACCCGAGGAACTGCGATGGACGCGAGAGTGCAGACTTGACTTCAGACCCCTTCGCGATCACGTTCTATGGAACTCGCTGCCCTCCCTGCTATCTTTGGAAGACCCTTACCCCCCAATCCTCCACGCCCCTACAAAAGCCTCCTCTCCTCCCTTCTCCCCTTCTGGACACCTCCGCGAACCGGGGACTCGGATTGGCCCAGGAAAGCTGACCTCCCCTTCCCAGACCCTCCCCAGCTCCGACTTGGTACACGCCTGCCGTCTCTGCTCCCCGCCTGGGAGGCGTACACGTGGTAGATCCCATCACCCCCGGAAGCCTCGCGTTACTCAAACACATCGCGCGGTTTTGCGAGCTCTCAGGAAAGGGGCGGGAGAACGGAGGCCAGGAAGGTGATTCGTGGATCCCGCGGGCTTGGCTGCAGGGGGCGAGCGCGCGTGCGCACTCGGCACCCTTGTCAGGAGCCAGGGGCAGGCTGGGTTCTAGCGCTCGTGCGTTCCGGCGGTGTTCACCTTTCCTTCTCTTCAATTCTTGGCGCCTGGGGGTCGCGAGCAGCGCCCTATATTCCGGCCGGTCGGCGCAACGCTTGAGTGCCCTGGCAGGGGAGCGGGCCGCGGCGCGTGGAGAGCACTGTGGACCGGAGAGAGTAGGCGCGGAAGAGCTGGGGAAAGGGGGCGGTGGAGGGGCCTGGAGGTTGGGGGCGATGTGATGAATGAGTAGGAACTGGGGGTGGGGGAGATGCGGGAGCTTGAGGTGAGTGGAAGGGGACTGAAAGTGGAAGGGAATAGAGGCGTCGAGTGCGCCTTCTCCCGGCTTCACCCTTTGGGCAGGAAACGGGGTGGGAAAGGAAGCGTTGGTCGCTCGTCACCCCTGGCTGATCTCGTCTCTTCCTCGTGCCAGGGCACACAGCATGGCCGAAAACCGAGAGCCCCGCGGAGCTGTTGAGGCTGAGCTGGACCCGGTGGAGTACACTCTGCGGAAGCGGCTTCCCCACCGCCTGCCCCGGAGGCCCAATGACATTTATGTCAACATGAAGACTGACTTCAAGGCCCAGCTGGCCCGCTGCCAAAAACTGCTGGATGGAGGGGCTCGGGGTCAGAACGCATGCAGTGAGATCTACATCCACGGCTTGGGCCTGGCCATCAACCGCGCCATCAACATTGCCCTACAGCTGCAGGCTGGCAGCTTCGGGTCCTTGCAGGTGGCTGCCAATACCTCCACCGTGGAGCTTGTCGATGAACTGGAACCAGAGATTGATACGCGAGAGCCGCTGACCCGGATCCGCAACAACTCGGCCATCCACATCCGTGTCTTCAGGGTCACACCCAAGTGATTGAGATGAGGCTGGCCCACCTTATCCACCCACCCCCGTACAGCTAGGCTCAGATGTGGCTCTTCTTGTACTGAGTACTGTCCTGGACCTTCTTCTAGAGCCATGTAGGAAAAAGCCTGTCCCCTCGCAGCCCAGAGGACTCTGAATTGAGAGGGCAAATATTGTCTTTTGTTGGGCCCAAGTAGTGGGGCCTCCTGAATCTTTGTGGTCTGTAGCCAATGTCGTATACAATAAAAAGCATCAAGTTGTGTTGGTGCCCAGCCACCCCGCTGCACTGCCTCTCCCCTGTGTAAATTCTGGAAAGGAGAGTAGGAAAGAACTTTACAAGGATTTAGGTACAGTAGGGGAACCCCAGTTCACAGAAAGAGCATAAATTGTACTACGGACACTGCAACCTAAAACAAACTTTAGTACAGTGCAGAAGCCTGACAATTCCAATGTTTGCTTTAAAATATTTCATCCTCACAGAAGAAGGCAGGGCAGATAAAGTATATACTCTCACCCACTGGAGTGCAGCTGGGGTGTAGTTGTATGCTAGGAAAGCATCAGGTTCTCTGCTGGTGGTTCCCAGGCACAGGAAGGGTGAGGGTTTAAGGGTGAAGAGGGCAAACAAAGGTGGGGGCCTCCTTTGTGTCAGCCTGTGGTAGGGACTGAGACACTGCTTTATTTGATTCCTGGTCCTGTGGGGCCCAAATTGTTCTAAACAGCTATGGTCCAGAGCCCTTCAGACCCTTGTGGCTGGGCTGTTCTAAGCAGGAGGATCTGATTTTTCATGTTTATCAAACAAGTCACCTAAAGCAATTTTTATCAAAGTGGGTGGTGACCCATATGTGGGTCTTGAAATCAATTTACTGGGTCAAAGCCTTTTAAAAAGCAAGTAAAAAAAAAAAAGTACAACTTCAATGATAATAATTTGTTGACACTTTCAGTTATAGATGTGTATATAGACACATGTGCTAGTTATGACATCAGTTTTACTGTTGGGCATCAATTTTACTGTTGGGCGGTCACAGGAGTTTGAAAGCCTTTGATCTAAAGGTTAGTAACAGAATTTGGTTCTAGTTTGCTTGAAGGCAGTTTGGTTTGGGGTTCTGAAAATTAGCCTTCTCGTTTAACAAAACCTCTCCCTCTGCCTTGAGTATTCCTGTTGACTAGGGATTCATGCTGCGGAAGTGACTGCCAGCCACTCAGGAAAGTGAACACCTTGCAGAAGGACTAGCGCTTCATTCTAACAACTAAATACATGCTGAGTGCCTACTGTAAGCCAAGGCCTGGGCTGGGCCCTGGGGATACAAAGATGGGTATGAAATGGCCCCTGCCTTCAAGGAGTTCACTTAGTTGGGAAGGTGGATATACCAATTTTTTGTGAAATGAGTAAGATGTGTTATGTAAGAAGTAAGAATAGCCACGATACAGAAGTGTGGAGAAGGAAATGGCTAACTTCCTGGTGAGGTCTCAGATGGTTCCACCTTTTGACCTGGGTTTTGAAGGATGAAAGGGAGCTTGCCAGGCAGAAGAGAGGGGAGAGGGCATATCAGACAGAGGGATCAGCACGCACAAAGGGGATTCATGAACAAGCAGGGTGTGTTCTGGAACTGGAGGGTCACTCGGGCAGCTAGAAAGTAGCTGTGCGGGCTTTCTCTAGTTGCGGCAAGTGGGGGCTACTCTTCGTTGCGGTGCGCGGGCTTCTCATTGCTGTGGCTTCTCTTGTTGGGGAGCACGGTCTCTAGGTGTGCAGGCTTCAGTAGTTGTGGCTCGTGGGCTCAGTAGTTGTGGGGTGCTGGCTTTAGAGCACAGGCTCAGTAGTTGTGGTGTACGGGCTTAGTTGCTCTGCAGCATGTGGGATCTTCCCGGGCCAGGGCTCAAACCCGTGTCCCCTGCATTGGCAGCCGGATTCTTAACCACTGCGCCGCCAGTGAAGTCCCTCCCTATCAGCCTTGACTGCAAGACTCCCTTGTCCAGGAGCCCCCAGTAACGGAGTGGGGAGCCGGCAGGGAACTATGTGTGTCCCTGCACGTATGTGCTCCGCTCTCTGCTCCTGGCCTGGGCCCAGCAGAGGTGGTGGCAGCAGCCCTTTTGCATTTGGTTTGTTTTGGCAGCTACATCTCCCAGCTTATTTGTTTGTTGTTTCTACTCCGAGTTCTCTCACTGCTTGCCAGTGGGGCTTCTCTCAGTGGCAGGTCTGCGGAAACAGCCCCTAGTCATTGCCACCGAAGGAAGAAGGGGTGTGAGGGCAGGTAGGGGGCGTGGGGAAAGCTCCTGCATCTGTTGGAGTCCATGCGTGGTGGATCGGGCTGGGAGGTCTGCATTCCTTCTGCAGGGAGGCCAGTGCCGGCCTCTGCTTCCCTCCCTCTTTGGTTCTCTGAAGTGTCTTCCACCACAGCTTGGGAGGTGATGGGGGTAGAAGGCGTGTCCAGGTGCAGTTTCCCTCCCTTTTGCTCAACCACTATGGAGCCCACAGAGAGTGCGAAATGACCTCCTACTTCAAAAACAGATCCCCAGAGGCCAGGTTGGAAATGCTTGTCTTGGAGATGAGTGTAGACCTTTTCTCATCATCCGTAGTATTATTGAGCATCCACTGGTTGTATGGAATCTGTGTTAGGCGCCAGGTCTGCCTGGAGAGGTATAAACTCCTGGTTCTCTAAAAACTAATAGGGAAAAGGACAGATAGATTTAAAAAGACAAATCATTTACGTCGTGCTTGGAGTTGTCCTAGCATTAGTAAGCGCTCAAAAAATAGTAAAGGGCTACTATTGTTAACTTGAGCCATTTTGCTAAGGAATGGTTTGAGCCTCTTCATGGGGATGGGGAGAGGGGAAGGAAGGTGATTTGTGTATGTTTTGTTTACAAGTCTGGGTTATTAGTCCTGTCGGCTTTTACTTTTGTGGCACACGTGGCAGGGAAGAAGGGAAGCCCTCAGAGCACATGAACTGGTTTGGATGGGCGGACGATCCTTCTAGGTGAGTCCCCAGTGCTTGGTCAGGAGTTGGGGGAACAAACCCTGGAGCCTATAGGGAAGTTGGACTAGAGGCATGTGTCAAATATAGTTCCTTAGGGAAGGGATATCCCGCTACACAGATTTGGGGGTGAGGCAAATGTTATCCCACCAAGAGAGAAGTCTGTGAAAATGACCACTTATGACTCCATCTTCCTAATGACATTATGGGTGCTTTTTAATTGATGTGTTTTGGTTTAGCCATATTTTCTAGTTGGTCAATGATCCTGTATTGTTTTTGTAATAGGAAAACGTTATTTATTTATTTTTTTACAAAGCCTGTTCCTTTGGTCTGTTCCCTAGGTGGGGTGATCACATGTGGTATTGGCTATCCTATAACAAGTCTCTGCTCCCTTAGAAACACCAGATATCTTTCACTGGAAGTGTGCAAGCAGAGGGTGGAAGTTCACCTTCATGGGATGTCCTAGGTCCCTTCCAGCTCAGAGTCTGTGAATCTTGTTTGCTGCAAGAAAAATATACTTTCCTGAAAGTACTAAAATTACTTGCTGGTTGATGAAATAAGACATGAACAGAAGGTCTTGCTTATATACAGATCGGAGGATGCCTCTGTCAAGCAATAGGTTCTCGTAACTCATTGGTTATCAGTGAACCATGAACAATTTGGGAAAATATTTGCTAAACTTGGGGGTTTAAGAGTATGTCTAAGGCTTCTATAAACTACCTTGAGTAGATCTTGGCCTGTGTTCCTCCAAGTAGGAAGAGCCTAGAGTTCATGCAGGGCTTCCCTGGTGGTGCAGTGGTTAAGAACCCGCCTGTCAATGCAGGGGACTTGGGTTTGAGACCTGGTCTGGGAAGATCCCACATGCCGCGGAGCAGCTAAGCCCGTGTGCCACAACTACTGACCCCGCGTGCCACAGCTACTGAAGCCCGCGTGCCTGGAGCCCATACTCCTCAACAAGAGAAGCCACCGCAATGAGAAGCCCGCGCACCGCAACGAAGAGTAGCCCCCACTCGCCGCAACCAGAGAAAAGCCCGCGCGCAGCAACGAATACCCAACGCAGCCAAAAATAAAATTAAATAAATAAAATTTAAAAAAAAGACTTCATGCAAAATCCTTAAGCCCCATGTTAACAAAATGAAACTTTTGTGTTCACGACTGCACCCCTGCAGAGATCTTACATGGGAGAAAAACATTACTCTCGTTGATATTTTGCCAGTAGTGTTTTAAGTTAGGATTTTCTAGTTTTATTTTTGCATGGACAGGAAAGCTACTCTGACCAACTTAGCAGCTCTGTCTTCTGATAAAGGATGGGTGCCATGGGAAGGAGCTTGGGAATATTCAGCCATACTTGTGAGCAAGAGATCCTAAGATGGGGTTGACACTTCATAGAAACCTAATCTGGGGAAGTGTTTCTGGATCCCAAGGTGGAGGTCTTGGTGCTTTGGGCACCCTCCTTCAAGGACTCAAGCACTGGAGGACAGGCAAGAGACAAGTAACCAAGGAAGCTGGCCTGGTAATGCTTCAGGCCTCATTCAGTCCAAGGTCCTTGGGACTTCTCCGGGCCTCCCTTGGGAGGAGACCCATGTTAATGGGACAAGAAACCCCTGTTTGGCCCCAGGCTTTGAATAAACTAAGTGTGAGACTTGTCTTGATATCTGTGTCTTAACCCCCGCCACCCCCCAGCTCCCACAGTGATGCCGTTTCACTCAGTTTTGTTCAGTGGCAAGTTTCTCCGAAGAGCAGTGGATGTGTACACCCGGCGGTACCTCCATCCACACCCCACTATCCCCATGACCTTTACCAGTGAGTTGCTTGGTAAAGGTACAACACCAGAGGTAAGGTGTCATGAACCCATGCCCAGCTCCCCAGAGGGAACAGTGGAGGGCGCTGGAGGAGGGCTGACAAACATGCTGGAGATTTGGTCTCCAGGCCTCCAAAGCCAGGACAAATAGCAGCCACAGTAAAGCAGAGGGTGCCGTGATAATAGCTAGCATTTATTGATTACCCCATGCCGGGCATTACATAATCACACGACAGCCCTGGCAAGCGATTACTATAGTTTTGTACCATCCCCAGGCTCAGACATAAAGTCACTTGTCCACATCCCGTGCTCCCTTGTTTGCCAGACAAGCCCCATTAGCCTGCTGAAGCCACAGAGCTGCTCGCTGAGAACAGAAACCCAGATGTCTGGCTCTACTGGCTACTTTGTGGCCAAGTAAGCAGAACTTCCCTCAGTTTCTCCAAAGTGACCTTCGCACAGGACTTCCTTTTGCTGTCTGGCAGGAATCCC